GAGTTTGTGAATTTTGGGAGAGAAAGTGTGTGTTGGGTGTGTAAAATTTTGGGGAAAAAATATATCCCCCATATGTTTAAAAACCTGTATGATTTATTATATTGATATTTTGAATATTAAAAGGTAAAAATAAATTAAATATATTATTGTGAACAAATCTTTAATTCAAAAAGAGAAATGTTATGTGGACTTAAAATATAGACTTAATCAATCATAATCATTGAATATGTAGTGAGTCCAAATAAATATTGGAACTCACAATAAAATCAATTACAGTAATTGATCAAGTCTATATTTTAAATCTATATTTTAAGTTCATGTAGTATTACTCATTCAAAAATAATTATAAGATACTCCACTTATTTTTTTTTAATTGAACAAGAGTAAATAGTAATGAACTACAAAAAAAAAAAGTTTAAGCTCTAAACATAGTGGAAACCGTGCGGAAGATCAAATGTATGAAACCTTACTCTATATGTGGATAGTTGTTTTTGTGGCTTTTGTTGGAGAAAATAGCATAATTTTATGAATATTAATTACTGAGTCATTTATAAAAACATAAAACAACAAGAATACAACTCAAACATATATGATACTATAGCATATGATTAGGACTGTATAAAATAGACAATAATAAATTAGAAAAAGTTGGTATGTGATATATGAGAGATGTGTAATCACTGTCCTAAAGTACATATACCTCCCCACGTGAAAGAATTAACAGACATATATAGCTCAAAGATCTAACTCAGATATGCTCACAACATTGATAGTAGCACCTCCTTAGGGGTCATGTCCACTAGAAAGTTGGGGTGAATTTGACTTGAATCAAAGTTGCCCATAAAATTATAATTGTAAAAAATACTATGCTATCATTTTAAAATATCAAGAAGAAAGAGGTCGTGAAAGAAATAAAATAAAAGGATAAATTGATGGAACATATAGTAAGGAGACAAAGGTTTAATTAGGGTAGAAGCTTAGAGAATCTATATCTATAATATAAAATATGGTAGACTTCAATAAGCCTATCCAACAGTCTCAAATAGATTAATCTAATGGCCACCAACATTCTTCTCAAAATCATTCATCTATAATATAAAATAGGACAAACTTTAATAAATACATCCGACAGTCTCAAATAGATTTATCCAACAAACACTAACAGCCCTCTTAAAATATTCACATTACACCGTGTGTTCAGCACGAGTTACCTCTAATATATCTATATAATAAAATAGAAGAAAAATTGAATTGTATACCCCACATATTTTTCTCCCCAAAACAACGTTACTATGTGTCCCTCCCCCCCCCCCCCCCCCCCCCCCCCCC